CTACTACTACTACCACTACTCCTATTGCTACTGACGTTGCTGTGGCCATGTCTAACCCTGCTTCTGTGTTGGTGAATGCGGCGATCGCTACTTCGATTTCATGTGTAGCTCTGCGCAAGTTCGGCTTGCATGTACCACTGGGAAAGTGTGAAAACTGCGCGCTCCGCACCTTAGACCCTAAACCCTAAACCCNNTAAACCCTAAGCCCCCTGAACCCTTAACCGTGGTCCTGTCGCCCAAGCCAGGCCGTTAGGCTGCCAAGCTAGCAGCCGTTTGAGGTGGCACATGTCAAGTTGAAGAATATCATGCAAAGTCCGTCTGATAGTGTTTAGGGTTTAGGATTTTTTGACTTAGGTTCAGTTCTGGTCGTCCTTGTGTAACATACGTGAAAGGAGCTCCGCACCATTTTGCAGCTATGCTGTCCATGGAAGAATCCCTCGATGCGGCCTACATGGGCAGAGGCCTATGCAGCGAAGTAGTTGTGTTGGGTTTAGGGAGTTTAGGGTCGAGGCGTGTGCGAGAGCCCCATGACATCATGAGGGTTTATGGTTCGGAGTTCAGGGTTCAGAAAAGTACGGTTCGTCAGGGTTTAGGCGTAAGATCGTACAAGGCGACAGCTGAAGCATGCAATCCCCGACCCTAAACCTCAACCCTCTCCGCCCCAAACCCTGAAACCTGAAGCCAAAGCCTTAAACGTGGAGCCAGGCACTGGTTTTGCTGCGACGACTGATGTTTGGGGGCGCGAGCTGACGCAGGCCTGTCGTTTCCGTGCTCTTTGGTTGGGCTTAGGTGATGGGGTCACAGTCACAGGGTTGGTGATTATTGGTTTTGATATGTACTGATGTGCTTGTACGGTTGTAAACAAGCACTTTGATCTTGTTTGAGAAGCTGAACCCTAAACCCTAAACCCTAAACCGTGTGGCAAGCTGAAGACAACTCTAAGACTTTGCGCACGCATCTGACACGAAACCCTGGCCCCACAACCGCCATGTCCGTCCGTCAGCTCGTCGCTTTTGACGGGGTGAAGCATAGCATGAAAGAACGGGGGCAGACAGCAGAACCTTAACCATGCTCGTGATAGGGTTATAGACCCAGAACCCTAAACCCTACCCTGAACCATAAGCCCCTAAACCCTAAAACCCTAAACCCTGATGTTTAGGGTTCTCCACACTTCCCTGCGAGTTCATCTTGTGGGAGTTGCTTTGGAGGCTGGGGTGTCAGCTTTAGGGTTCATAGTGACCTTACGTTTGTAGGTGTTGGGCCATTGTTTTGCTTACTTTGTAGGAGTTCAGGTAGTGTAGGAACCTGATTAAGAAACCCTGGCCCTATAGCACCCAAAATATTGGGATTCATATTAAGAACCCCAAATAAAGGCCCAGGGTTTCTTAATCAGGTTCCTACATTACGGCTTTGAGGCCGGGGAAGGCAAGGTTCTCAGCTTGACGAGAGCCTTTCGCTTTAGGGTTTAGGGTTTAGGGTTTAGGGTTTAGGGTTTAGGGTTTAGGGTTTAGGGTTTAGGCTGGAGAAAGACTTCCCTGGGCCACGGCACCACTTGAACGACGCGATGCTGCCGGGCTTTCGGGTTTTGG